TTTTTTTTTTTTTTTTTTTTGTAATAAAAAAATCATTTGTTATAGCCAATGTTGTTCAAAATCAGGTTAGGCAGGCGACTAATGATAAGACAAAACCGAAACAAGAGTTTTAGTGGATTCTATTTACTTGGAACCTTTGTTATATATTTGGTCAATGTTTGTAGGATGTTACTGGTCATTGTATCCTTTTAGTGGCATGAATGATCTAACCACTTTGTAGGGAAATACTAGAAAAAATTTACAACAAAGTAGTCATCCATCTAAAAATCGTAAAACATTTGCCTTATTTTCCACAGATACTACAGTGTCTCTCTGTACAAGGCCTGACATCATCAGGAGGTGGTAGTTCGGTTGGTGCTGATGGAGGAAACAGTAGCGGAGTTTCCAGAGCAATTATAAAAGACAGGTATCAAAAAATATTTAACAATATCTAACATAAAAAAATAAATAAATAAATAAATAAAAATCCATCTTTTCGTTTATAAACAAACAGTTTGGGGAGAGGTAGCCGAACTTCCTTTTGGTTTGCCCAGGAAACAATTTTCCTTCCCTTTTTTATGGAATTAAAAGGAAAAAATGGACACTTGAAAATGAAGTATTTTTCGAATTCTAACACAATTGAAAATGAATTATTTTTCGATTCTAACAGTTTTCAATGCAAAAGAATTACTTGGTAAACTTTCAAGAGAACCAAAAAGGTGGTTATTTGACTACTGGGCTTGAACTTGTCAAGTGACTAATTTTTTATTGGTATATTCTTAGATTAAAGACATTTAATGTCCAATTTGAAGAGCTTCATCAGAAACAGTCCCAGTGGACAGTCCCGGACACTGAGCTTCGAGAATCTCTAAGGCTGGCTGTTGCTGAGGTCTTGCTTCCGGCATACCGATCTTTTATCAAACGGTTTGGGTAAGTGCTCATAGTCCCTTCAAATAATTGGCTGTGAAAACAATGTGCAGTGTCATTTCTTGAGAAAACTATGTGATGATCCTTTTCCCTCTTAAAATTTAACAGACCTTTGGTTGAGAACGGTAAGAACCCCCAGAAGTACATTCGGTACACGCCCGAGGATCTTGAACATATGCTTGGTGAATTTTTCGAGGGAAAGACTCTGAATGAGCCAAAGCGTTAAAAAAAACCTTGATCAGCTTGTGTCATCAGAGTGGAGGCATTGCTCCTGTTGGTCGGGCTAAAACTGTTGTCTTTTTTAACTCTCCCGGAGATTACATTCACTTTTAAATCGTAAATGTGTTGTTCATATTAAACTGGGGCCTGCTTTGGTAAGAACAATTGTTTACTGTAAAGTAGGGCTGTCCTGGCAACAATTTGTGTTTGTGGATGTGATGCATCATTTTCTTGTACATCCAATGTGGCCTTCTGACTTTGCGAAATTGAAGAACTGGCACTTGTTGTATTATTGTATAGGTAGCAAGTGTTTTCACAGGGTACTTGTATAACATGGAGTGTTTTATTAATATTAATGTTGTTGTTGTTGCACCAGCAGCTGTTGCTCTGTGAACAATAGCATACTATTGAACTTAAAACCGATATAAGAACAAATAAGATCTTTGGGATCTTTAATTTAGTTATTTATATTTATTTATTGTTAGTATTTTAATTTTAGATTTGTTAGTAAAATTATTTAATTATTCTAGTCTTTCTATTTGGTAGGAAAGTTATCTTTTACTTGTTAGGAAAGTTATGACTCTTGGGTTCTATTTAAGAGAATCTTTTCTCTTTGTGTTTAATCAGTCAAGATTTTAACAAATAATAATATATTCATGAGAGTTTTATCTTTTATTTCTCTTTCGTATGGTTTTTCTACGTCAGTTGGTATTCAGATACTAATACAATTAGAGATGTTAAACAGGCTAGTCTTAGCGGTTTCGGGCTAGTCCTAACGGACTTCGGGCTAAATGGTATGAGCTACAAAACCTTAATTTAAACGGACTACTAATAAAAGAACTTAAACCCTAACAGGCTTCGGGCTAAACGGACTACAATAGCTAAAAAATATTAAGAAAAAAATCGCACATAATATTTATAAGAAAGTCAAAGGCAAGTTAAAGTTTTATAAGTTATATACACATACTATCAAAATTCCAACTCGCACGTGCAAATATAAAAAAAAAAAAAAAAAAAAAAAAAAAAAAAAAAAAAAAACAACATCAAAGTAATGTCATACACATAGTTGCATTAAATAGTTCCTAACTAAAAAGCCAAAACTAGAGCTTAAGCATTTGCGTCATCATCAATGAGATTTGGTTCCACTTTAGCCAATGCATCATCATCTCATTCATCTTCACTTGAAATTAGAAAAAGAAAAAAAAAAAATATACTAGAACATTATGTATATAAGTTTTGAGTCCAATAGCAAATTAAAATTTAAAAAAAAACATTACCATCACCAAAATCCTACAGCCAATTAATTACGAGTACAAAGTATAGCTTGCACATGATTACCAAGAAGACGACTCCTATATTTAGTGAGGACACGACCTCCTATGCTAAATGCAGACTTGGACGCCACATAGGTGATAGGAATATTTAATATATCACATGTCATATGTGCTAATGCAAGCCATCGATCGACCTCACTTTTTCAAAACTCCAGAACATCCAAATGTGGGTGATACTTTAACTCAAGTGGGTCCTCATCCAAATATTGATCCAATTCAGATTTTTCAGTTTGCCTATTTTAAATGTTGCTCTGCCAATCTTGTATGACCTAACCACAATGTGATAAGCTTATAAGTTGATAACAATGAGACAATAAGTTTACAAAACTGAATTGAATAGTCAAAATAATGAAAGTTTGTCGAAATATTCACATCATATATGTTAATATCAACAAGAGGCTCATTTCCTTTCTCACTTTTTGTTTCAAAAGCATTTGAAGAGCTTATGGAGCTGCTTACACTTGGTTTGGTTCAACTTTACATACTCACCAAAAAGCATTTGCAACTTCCATTTGATAGTATCAATTTTTTCTTCACAAGTATATTGATCGAGTTGAGAGAAACAATATTTTATCATCCCTAACTTTGCTCGAGGATCAAATGGAGCACCAAAAGAGAGCACCATGTTGTAATCTCTCCAATATTTATCAAATTTTTATTGCATTTCAAAAGAAGCTTTTCTAAATTCCTCATCTTCACTCTTCACATTTGCTTTCAAAAGACACTCTATTTTCCATACTTGCATGAAATACAAGTTTGAAGTTGGATAAGATGTCCCTGAAATTAAGTTGGTGATCAGATAAAACGGGCGCAATAACTCAAACATTTATCTCCTTTCTTCCACTCTTCATTTGTTGGAGCAAACTTGTAGTTTCTATCAATCAATTGAATGCCGGAAGTCAACGGTCAACGCCGGAAGTCAACGGATTTTCGCCGGAAGTCAACGGTCAACACCGGAGTCAACGGGTCAAAATAATATTTAAATAATTAAAATAATAATAAAAAAGAGTAAATCATTGCCACACATATCATGTACCAATCTTGTGTCTAAGAATGAGTCTCACGTCCGCATTTTAAAAAACTGTCCGCATTTGAACAATATATATATTGTTGATATTAGACTTGATTATCCTATAAATTTGACGTTAGATATTATCGTGTTAGGAGATAGAAATAATTATGTTATATATATATTAGACTTGATTATCCTATAAATTTGACTTTAGATATTATCGTGTTAGGAATTAGAAATTATTATGTTATAGATTCAAAATTATTATGTTATAAATTGGACGTTAGATATTTTCGTATTAGGAGTTAGAAATATTATGTTATAGATTCGAATAATTATGTTGTAAATTGGACGTTAGATATTATCGTGTTAGGAGTTAGAAATTAATTAGACTTGATTATCTATAAACTGGACGTTAGATATTATCGTGTTATAATTTAGAAATTATTATGTTATAGATTATAATTTAACATTTTTAAAATTATAAATATTTTACTATATTGCAGGTGTCATAGGAAGATTTTAGAGGAGATGGTATTGATTACAGTTCCGCTTTCGACAACCACATTATTTTCTAAGGATGTGGACGCTAGTAATGATGCAAAAAGTACGGCACTTCTGAGTGGTTTCGATTTGATTTTTTCGAAACACACAAAAGGAGGAAGGGTGAAGATCTTGAAGTGCAAACGAGGCGAACGTTATAGAGGCAAAATTATAGATTTAGACAAAGCTGCTTCTAGGCGTACAAAAAAGAAAGCGTGCGGCTGCCCTTTTGAGATAAAGTAAAGCAGCTGGCCAGATCGACATACTGGATGATCTGCACAAGTCAAGACGAAAAGAAGGGCTTCCATATTCATTCATTTGTTGTGTATCCTGAGGGTCATCGACAGGTGAGCGGCATCAGCCAGTCGTAAGATTATTCATGATATGACTGCTGCGCAGGCGAAACCAGCACATATTTTTGCCGCGATCCAGGAAAAAAATTCGGGAGACCACTAATCGGCGACATATATATAACTATAGAGAAAAGTTGCGTAGGAAAAGTTTCTAGGGTAGAGATGTTACTACCCAACTTCTATATTTGGCAAGCAACTGCAACTACATAGTTTATACAGATTTCGATCCGGACACAAATGCGCTAACGCACATATTTATGGCCCATCCTTATTCAGTGAGTCTATTTAAAACATATTACTGGTATGTCGGCATAGATTCCACATACAAAACCAACATGTATTTTAATTTATAAATACATTATTATTATGAATTTTAATTAGTATGTTCGATTAAGTTTTATGTGATTATATTTTTTGTCTTTTGGTCTCATTTGCACAGGTACAAGATGTCGTTGGTCGAGATGATTGGCATGACGTCGTCCAACAAGAACTTCGTAATTGCATATGCACTCGTAAAGAACGAGAAAGATTCCAGTTATGATTGGGTTCTCCATAAGTTGGGACTTCTGATAGGTATGGAATAAAAGAACGAAATTCTTCGGTTGTCGTTTTTTTTGTTGGTATGGAATATTTTAGTTCAAATGTAGTATAATAAAATTAAATAAATAATGGGTCAAGCACACGAGTCGTGTGAAAAGGTCGAAACGGGTTAAGGGTATGTGTTAGGCCACACGAGTCATGTGCATGACCCATACGAATCGTGTGGAGCCACACGACTCGTGTGGAGCCACGTGTGGAGCCACACGACTTGTGTGGAAAGTCGAAAGAAACTTAACGGCATGTGTGGAAAAATCATATTCCTTATTTTTTTCGGCTTTTCCACACGAGTCATGTGGAAAAGCCGATACAAATTAAGTGTAATATCCCAATCAGTTATTAATAAAAGTAATTATTTGAAATATTTACTTTTATTAATAATGCTCGTTTCTAGTTGAGAGTCCAATTATTAAGTTATAAGTTATAAGTTTGAATTTAAGTTGAAAGTATTCTCGGTTAAATTTTATTAGTAATCGAGCCAGTTCATTAATTAATTCCGGTCTGTTTATTTTTAGAAATGGATTTTATTAGTAGGGATTAATTATTTCGAGTTGTTTGATAAGTTTATGATTAATTTGACATGAGTGTCTAATTTAATCATTTGAGTAAAATAATTTATTTAGACATTTTAGTCTATTTAAATTATTAAGAGAGAAATATGAAGGTTTTAAAATTTTTGGGTTTTTCGGTTTTCGATTGTAGTCAGAATTTAAGAACGATTTCACTTCCGGAAAATAAATTTAATTATTTTCTCTCTATATTTTTAGTAGACTACAAGATAAAAAAAAGTTTTTTAGCATTAAAAGGAAAAATGCCAAAAGCAAAAGAAGGAAAATATGAAATTGTTAGAATTTTCGATTTTACGGTAACTGTTCGTTTTAAGTCAGAAGTCGGTTCCGTAAATTCTAGATTTTTCCTTATTTCACGAATTATGTAATGCCAATCAGATTAAGATCATATTATGGGGTCTTTTTAAGCATTGACTATACATTAGGGAAGTTTACAAGTTATGATTTTATTTTTTAATCTTTATTAATTTTCATAAGTTATGTTTGTTTATTTTTGTTTATTTCTTCACTCAATCATCTTGTCCCCTCTTTTGTGGCTATAAATAGAGGCCTTAAATCAGATTATTTTCATCAAAAAAAAATTTCAAGAGTAATATAAC